TTACAACATTCTGATGATTCATTTGACAAAAAACTTACATCAACTGACAAAACTCTATAAAATATTTTGTAACATGCCTTATCTAGACTCTGTATCATGATTGGTCATCACATGATGACATGAGGTTTTATGAACTACTGAGATCCAGTTCTGGAATCCCAGAAATGCTTGATTTTGATAAATTTTTAGCACTAAAATGGCAACTAGTTGGCCGTCCTGAATTGGATATTGAACCAAACACACATGCATATGTATGACATGATGTGTGATATGTATGTGAAGTATGAATGAAATTAGCACATACACAGACTGATGCACAGAGGTGAAATTATACAGTATGTCCCTGTTTTCGGACTACGTGCTACTGTTTTCTGTAATGCTCTTTCCATGTGACATGATGCCAGACACTATTGCAAACTGTTTCTGATTATTAGAAACAATAACATATACCTAGACATATGAAATATGCAACCTAGACAGCAACACACATATTTTACTTGTTTTTCTTTGTTTGTTTTTTTTAAAATTTATTTTGTAAGCATCTCGAAAACCTTCAAAGAATGTTTTTCAGAGCAACACATCTTTTTATATACCCTAACCAAAATGTTTGTTTGGGGCGGGTTACAAATATTGAAGTTTTATTTGAAGGGTCAATGATAAAAAAAGAGGCAGGGCTTGGGGGTAGAAAAGGAATAAAAAGAACTGATTACAAAAAAGTAAAATACTGCTCTGGGGATGGGAAAGACAAGCATACATGTACAATAATAATCTACTCTAAACAAAACACTCAAGTCGGATTAAAAATCACTTCATACTCCAGCCTAGTTCCATGCCATCACAGTTCTTGCCCAGAATATGTTAATTATGTTAATTTGCAGCGAATAATCGTATTATGCTAAACTGACGAGTGGCTCATTAGCGTTTCTTTGTTTTAACTGTTTACCAAGACAAGTACACTAACAAAAGACGAGGGATTGTTTCCTAACCATCTTTTTTAGTAACCGTGATGCCATATTGTAAATTAACTGTAAATGCAGTGCTGGATTTACATAAATACACATTTGACTGCATGTAAACATTTTCGTATTGTTGAGGTTAAATCTGTATTACAGATAAACAGTATTACCGATGGTAACAGTTTATCATTAGCATACTTTCAAGTTGTTCCTGGCACATCATATAATTTCCTGCTTGAATTTTATTTGTAGTTTGGCTCATTTAACATTTTTCCCCTTTGCCAAACTTTGAGATTACATTCGATGTAGTACAGAAAACAATCTAACATTTATTAATGCTTTCAAGTCTGCAACGTTTTTGACCGCTGTTAACCAAATTCAACTTTGAAATTGGTAGATTATTAAATACCAGCAATTTAAAATTACCCTCTGAAAACTACATTCGTAGATGGAACAGTCAATCATTGCAAGCTGCATGCAGATCAAGTACATGTGCTGTGTACTCTCATTTTCTGCATGTTCATCTACTTTGTGTATTTGTTCTCTCTAGAACACTATTTCATTAGCTAAATATTCAATCAGTCTGTTGTATTTTTATTAATTCATAACAAACTACTGGAGAAGGTTAAATGTTACAACAACAAAATTTAGAATAAAAATTAATCAAATTACAATAGCTAAGAGTTTAAAGCACAACCAAAAACAGACTTAATGAAATTGGTAACGACAAAAAATATAATAAAATAAAATAAACTTAAATGAAATACCCACAAAATACTGTAACGTGCAGATAGACACACACAGAGACACGCATGTATGTCATTCACTGCGTTCTTTTATTCCAAGTTCATACTATGGTTAAGATAACATAAAACAAAAACAAAACAAAACAAAAAAAGAAACCAGAAAATCATGAAATGGTTTTCAAACTTCTAGAGACTGATAAAGATTGAAACTGGGTGAAATTGCAGACAGCAAACGAAAAGTGTTTGCAAACAGAAGTTTACAAGATGGAGTCTGTCATGTCACATGACCTCGGCAAAAGAAGTGTTTTCTCAAAATTACAAAATACATTGAAATAATACATTACATATCCTCTACAGAAATTAATAATAAAAATAAAGAATTTACAATACATCTCAAAGGTAGAAATATGAATATTTAAAGAAAATATAAATAACACTCAAGGATGAACAGCGCCCTCACACACTCAAGAAGGGTAAACAGCACTCTCACAATACTATAAGCAGAATATAAAAATAAAAACCCAATGAACACATAATAATAGATATACCGGTATATATGTGTATATATATATATATATATATATATATATATATATATATATATATATATATATATATATATATATATATATATATATATATATATATATATGTAGGTGTTGCTGTTTAATAACAAAGCTGTTTTTTAGATATTGTGCCAAAGGAATTGTTAAGTTAATATTTGACATTATTTTTATGAATTTATTTTCAGGCGTCAGATTTATAAAGTCAGTGATAATCTTTTCAGCTTCTTTGTGTAAAATAACCCTCTCTTTAACTATATACTGGGCATATTATGAGGAAGTGATGTTCATCTTCAATATCATTTTTGTTGCACAATGTGCAGATTCTGTCGCTACTTTTGATTCTGTTGTGTCTTCCTCTTTCAATTTCTAGAGTGTGATTGAGCAGTTTTAATTAATAAAATAAAACTGGTTTTAAGTTTTGTGTATGTCCTAAGTTTGTTCTTTGTATTAGTGTTTTGTCTGTTATCATCATTAATTGAGGTAATCCAATGCTTTATAAATACATTTTTTATTTTATCATATATCCGTGACATTTTTGATGATTATTGTCAATATCTGATAGCTTTGTATTTGTAGATTTCAGTACTGAGTCAAGTTCATTGTACCACTTACTTTTTACAATTTTGTTAATTAGAAAGGCTTCCTTAATAATAGGGTTTTGAGATTTGTTTCAAAGGTGGTTGGGTATATTTTATTAACTGCTTTTTAATAAATGAATTGATAGGATATCTACCCAACTCACTATAAATTCCAAATTT